CTTGGCCTTGGTCGGGTCCGGCTCGAAGCAAAGAACTCGCTCGCCTTTGTGGAATTTAAATTTCATTCCCCGCGAGGTCATTTGCTCATCATGGCGAAAGGAAGACGCGGCCCCGCCCAAAATGCGAAGGCAGGGGAGGTGCCTGAGCGAGGCCGCCGCTTTGCTCCGCCTCTGTTGCTCGCTCCTCAGGCCGGGAGCCAAAAAGGCGGGGGGAGAAGAAGAAGGATGCGCATTCACATGTGCACGCCACACGCAATAGACCGAGTGCGGTCATGGGGGCGGGATTCTGTCGTGGAAGGATGAGCCGTCCCCACCTATAGCAAAGCTTTGCTGAGAGAATAATAGACTAAAAAGCCTTTTCTTGCTTTCTGTGGCTCTACCCATGGGGAGAGAACTTAAGTACAGTACTTGTTTACTTGGGGAAAAAAAGACTCCGCTGATTTCCCCCCCCCCATCATCTAATAGGACGTCCTAATTAAAATGCATATGATTGCAGTATTTACTTTAAAGCAGACCACCAAAACCACTTTCCGCCAATAGCGCCACTTCGCCTTGAACCGCACACTTGCTAGGTCGGTTCACGTGTGAGCAAAGCCAGCCAGTGTGGCCTTGGGCAAGCTGCACTCCTGGGGCGCCCTCCGCCCCCCCCCCAAACCACGAAGTATGCTTTGCTTGGAAACCTCTGAAAAGAGTCACACGTGATTGACTTGAGAGAGCATGATTCCTGTTGTTAATGATGCCCGCCGCCTGGGTACTTAAGGAAAGGTATAAACATATTTAATAAATAATTGCTGAATGGTAAGTCGACCCTTATGTAAATTGTGTTGAGTCAATGGATTTACTCAAGTGGGATCTAGCAGTAGAACGAAGTGAGGGCATTATCTACATTCTAGAATGACCTCCTCTTCCCATGATGAAGTAGGGTGACTACATAGGGGGAAATCCTAATTAGTGTGCACCTTCAATATGTTGCTCAGCATGGCTAACACTTTTGGGTGCATTGGATTACAGCTGCAGTGTAGGTTTTTTCAATGTTGAAGCCAGAGAGCAGCATTCTAGAATGTATAAATTAGTTGACTTGGGTGTTTGTGTTATTGACAGGTGTGTTGACACTTAGAGGACTGGGCTACTGGACATCTTTATTTGATCTTAGACTAGGAGGAGGGACCTGTCCTCTAGGTTTGGTGTCCTGGAGCAAAGACCCTGTTCCCATGCTCAAGTTATGGCCTGAATTTTGTGGATCTCTCCAATTTATGTTTGTCCCCTTTACCTTCTTCCCGTAGGGATGTGGTGGCGCCCGTAAGGATGTGGTGGCGCTGTGGGCTAAACCGCAGAAGCCTGTGCTGCAAGGTCAGAAGACCAAGCAGTCGTAAGATCAAATCCACGTGACGGAGTGAGCACCCGTCGCTTGTCCCAGCTCCCGTCAACCTAGCGGTTCGAAAGCATGCAAATGCAAGTAGATCAATAGGGACCACCTCGGTGGGAAGGTAACAGCATTCCGTGTCCAAGTCGCACTGGCCATGTGACCACGGAAGATTGTCTTCGGACAAAATGCTGGCTCTATGGCAGGCTTGTCCAACCCGTGGCCCGAGGGCCGCATGCGGCCCAGGCCAACTCATAATGCGGCCCAGTGCAATGTTTTATTTTTTAAGAAATTCCAAAGTTTCAAGTTACACTGCCGGCACTTGCGGCCAGAATGTGGTCGGGGCATGTCACAGCAATAGAGGGGGAGAGAGGAAAGGAAAGAAGGAGGGAGTGGGAGGGGAGGGGAGGGGACAGGGGAGCTGCGTGACTGCATTGCGCCGTCCCTGTCAATAGGTGGACCCCCTCCTGGGCCCGTA